TATATTAACTCTGCAGGACTTATTTTGAGATATTTCATGAGTTACATCAGTAGAAAGGAGCAGAGTGACATCATCGCTGAATGATACTCCATTGTCACTGCACAAAATACTCTCCAATTGGTGTCTACCAGTGATGTTATGAGTGGTTTTGGCTGAAGATGAATTAAAATGAGAGAACAAAATGAACAGCAGGAGAAGATGTGAATAAATCATTGTATAAAGTATCACTACACTTCTTGTGGATGTACATGCATCTATTTTTATAATCTTTTTATTGCTGAAAATGAAACAAGTAATTAGTGACAGTTGAAACAACACTTAATTTATGTTTTGCAAAGCAGTAGCTATTAGTTATGTATACAAGAATGTCATTATGATGATTCACTGGTTCCAGGAATCAGTGAATGCATGCAGTGCTAATAGGATGTAACATGTCCTATATTAGTAGTTACCACAACAGGTTCTAAAGTTTGGTACACATTGCTTGAATATTTTAACAATACCTAAAAACTTTCTGTTTGGAAACAAATATTTCTTGATTTATTATTGTAAGCATGGAAATTATCATGCTTAAAAACTGTAAATGTTTTCAATAATAAATCATTTTACTCCAGACCACAAACATACCATAATAAATAGCTTATGAAGTTATGATACAGCATAAAGAAACCTATAGTATTGCAGTGCACACGTGACAATGACAATGCCAATCCTTCAAAGTAAATAAAAATTAGTACACAACTTTAAGTATCAACAAACAAAAAATATTTTGCAACTTTTTTTTCAATCTAAGGTAACCTTCTCACATAAAAGCACTTTTAATAACTCAAAAATAAAACTAAAGAGAAGACATTATTTTTTAATTATACTGTAATTTTAGTATTGTTACTCTAGAATTATTGTACTAAAAAAATATATAGTCCTCTGATATTAATATTGAAGGAAATGTTGTACTAAAATCTGTTTGATATCCACTGGATACTGTCGATGCATGTTTCTTTAATCTTATATTGCTTTTGAAATAAAAACTAATCAATGCAAATATATCATCATTGCTGGCTACTGATAGTGCAGTGTGACCTTCAATAGATTTAATTGCTGGATCAGCTTCCCATTCTAACAATAACTTAACTATGTCCTTTACAACTAGCAGCTATCAAATCAGTATGACCTTGTTTGTTTTGAACATTAGGATCAACTTGTTCCTTCAGCAACAGTTCTACTATTTGAGTGTGGCCATTTTGGCATGCCAACATAAAAGCATTTACTCCATCGCTTGCTTGAACATTGGGATTAACTCGTTCCTTCAGTAAAAGTTCAACTATTTGAATGTGGCAATTTGCACAGCTGAGCATAAATGCATTCACTCCATCTTTTGTTTGAACATTAGGATCAATTTGTTCCTTCAGCAACAGTTCAACTATTTGAGTGTGGCCATTTCAACAAGCCAACATGAAAGAGTTTACTCCATTTTTCTCTTGAATATTAGGATCAACTTGTTCCCTTAGCAACAATTCAATTATTTGAGTATGCCCAGTTGCACTAGCCAACATAAAGGCATTTACTCCATTTTTCTCTTGAACATTAGGATCAACATGTTCCTTCAGCAACAGTTCAGCTATTTCAGTGTGACCATTTTTACAAGCCAACATAAAAGTATTCCAACCATCTACGTTTGGATTAACTTGATTCTTCAACAACAGTTCAACTACTTTAGTACGGCCATTTTGACATGCCAATGTAAAAGCATTTGCTTTATCATTTCTTTGAACATTAGGATCAACTTATTCCTTTAGCAATAATTCAACTACTTCAATATGGCCATTTTGACAAGCCAACATAAAAGCATTCACTCCATCTTTTTCTTGAACGTTAGGATCAACTTGCTTGTTCAGCAACAATTCAACTATTTGAGTGTAGCCATTTTGGCAAGCCACCATTAAAGCATTTGCTCCATCTTCTCGTTGATACTTATAATCAACTCCTTTACTAATCAATAGATCAACAGCTTTATAGCTACCATCATAACTAGCAATCATTACAGCATTTGATCCTATTGATGTTTTCAGGTGGGGATTAGCATTAGCTTGTAGTAACATGTGAATGATTGAAATGTGATTATATTTACTTGCTATCATTAGTGTAGTCCATCCATTATCCAGCAGACAGTAAACTGTGTACAATGTCCTCATGTCCTCTTTCACAAGCTAACATTAGTGCTGTCTTGCCTTCTTCATTAGTATGATCAATATTAATAGTTTCTAGTTGGAGAAGAAACTCTACTACTTCATTATTACCAGCTGTGACTGCCTCAAGGAGAGCTAGTTCAAAGGTGAAGTTCATATTCTCATCTTCTTGAAGGACAGGATGATCATTAATGTATAAACTAAATATACCAATGAGACACATAAACTGTAACTTTCCTCCAGTATATTCTATTAAACTATCAGCTGTAAAGTCAAGAATATGTAACTTGATGACAACAGATCCTGACTCAATAGTGATGCATTTCATTATTGACTGTCTAAGTTCTATTGGTAATAATTTTTTAATCAAAATATAAAGTCCGTTAATTTTAACATCATTCCAAGGATTTTGTAGTTCAATACAGATCAATGGCATATTCTCTAACTGTCGTCTAAAAGGTCCATACACTTTACGTAGCTTTTGTTTGAGTTCAGTGATTGGTCTTGATGAACGAAATGCATTAGCTTTTAATGAATAAGCCTTCAGTTCATCAAGTAGATCTCTTTCATCACTTATAAACTCATTACACATAGCAACTATCAGACTACAGTCAATGAAATCATAATTATGGTGAATCTTCTTGAAAATATCATCTAAATCATTATCTATTGTACCATATTCCCAGTGAAGGTAAGATTCTACCCAATTAGATATTTCAATGGATTGTCGAGAATTTTGGACTGTTTTTCCACGAAATGCTAATTTTACTTCTTTCATGATGTGAGAAAAATTTATTTGCAAATCATCTAAAGAATCTTGAACTGTTTGATCTTCTTTTGGGAAAAATATTATTTCAGTATCACCTAAAATACATAGAATAATTAAAAGTAGGTGCTCAATAATTTACCATCAGAATATGATGTCTTAGGTGATAACGATGACAATGTAGAAAGAGAATCAATGTCTATATGTTCTTTAATATCTTGAGCTAGCTTATTCTGATTTCTACTAGTCAGTGCATCAATGACATCTCTCCATGTTGCTTTAGGATTGACTGACAACCATTTTAAGTATAATGCTAACTTTTTGTCTTCAATTGTTACGTTTTCTTTTTCAATTTTTAAAATTTCATGCTCTTTTATTCCAACTAAACATAACCCAAATGGTTTCCAGTCAACAAGTGGTTCAAGCCATTGAATTAGCAATGAAATATCAGGTCGATCATCAATCATAGGACCAGGATTGAGTTCAACATCTCCTGATAAGAGGAGGAGTTTACGTAAACAAACAATCAAATAGAGATCATTGTAAATCAGGTTAGAACTGCTGCCTCCAGGTAAGACTACTGACTGGAGGTAATTTGTATCAGTAACACTAACACCAGTAGTACATTGTACTTGGTAGCAGTTAACTAATAATAAAATACCAGTAAATATACAAGTACAAAGTTGCAATTGTTGTTTACCTGTTGGAGGAATCATCAAGATGTGTCTCAATAAAGAAAGAGAGTGAAAAAGGGAAAGGAGGAAAGCAGTAAGAGACAGAGCTGCTGGCAGTTTGGATGTCTTCTCTACTGATGTAGTACTGCCTGACTTGCTGTCTACTGCAGCTTTGAATGAGTGAGAGTGGCAGCCATTAGCTGGTCTACTGGAGGCAGCTTGACAGTAGTTCCACAGTCCAATACTTGCTCTCCATTGAAAGACATCAATCATCTTGTAGCAGGAATGTGTGTGGTGTGACTGAATTCTTGTCATTCTTCATGCTATGAAACCATGGATAGATCTAACTACTATAAAATAACTGTATAGCTATGTAG